TATAGCTTTTATTCACTATTAAATGATTCAATCTCACAGCATATTAAACAATTTAATACAGTATTTATGTGACATTTAAGGGAATTTGGTACAAGGGAATTCCTTACATCCAAAAAGGGAATCCCTTTCCTTTCCCGTATGTGATTTTTGATTCCCTTTCCCTTCCTGTTCCCTTAAGGGATTGGGAAGGGAAAGGGAAGTTTAAGGGAAAAGGGAACCCGACTTTGACCTGTACTATACAGTACAGTACAGGTAATGACTGTGATACCAATATTAAAACTCGTTTCCAGTTAAAATGTAAGATACAGTACAGTAGTCTGAAATTAATAGTAACCTTCGATGGACCTCAGACTTCAACTATTATTTAATCTTCACAACTGTTTAGAGATGATTGGAGGGGATGGAGGGGTCAGTTATTACACAAAAGCACCAATACATGTATTTTAATGTTAAGAAACTATCATATGGTTAAGTTAGCTTGCTGCCTTTTGATTTATTTTCTAAATCAATAATTCCTTAGTTATGAAAATTCCGTTTTTATAAATCCTTTTGCTTTCAAGTGATAAAAAATACCTGTAATGCAAGTTATACACTATATACTGTGTACTGTACAGTATTAAGATATTAATAATACATAAGGTGTGAATGTCTGCGAAATTTTTATTTTTATATTCTTTACTATTAGAAATAGTCTATTTCTTTAAAACAAAGTTATCTTACAAGTTTTATATGAATACAAAACATTATGAATACATCAATACAAGTTTATATACAATTTAATGTATAGATGTGTTCTTAATATTCAGCTTACTAAGTAGTTAGCCTTTATAATTGATATATAGGTTTGGGATTTTACATACAGTACATTAAGTTAATAATAGTGAAAGTATAAAACTATTTCAAACATTCCATAACATAAATGTGTTTCTATTTATTTATTTACAAAAAAGCGATTATAATTTATAAATAATCGATTATATCCTACAGTTATGTCTGACAAGCCCTATGCCAGTGGCTAATGGCACAGGAGTTCAACTCTTCAGGTCTTCCACCTCTTAATTACATAATTTCTATTGGTTTTTTAGTCATTTAAATTAATATTGTTTTAGACAAGATTTTCAACAAATTTAACTAGTTTCTATCATATACTAAACACAATTCATATGCTTTCTTTTATAATTATTAATAAATCCATATGAATAAATAATTTCTATAATGATTTATTTTATTTAATACTATTCTTAAATTAATGATTTGCTTTAAATAATTTTTTATATTTTAAAAATCGTACAAATATACTATTAAAAGCTTTCATCAAATCATTTATAAATAGTATAGCTTTTAAAATAAATTTTTATTAAATAAATAAAAATATTTCACAATATCATAATATTTTTATTATATAAACAACTAAATATAATAAAACTAAATAATACTGGTACTTTATATTTGTATTAAATTGTATATAAATTAATCAAAAATTTATTTTCACAAATTCAACATTTTACCCAGTATTTGAATTAACAAAGGCTAAGCAAATATTATTTTTTCCAATAATAATTATTTATTTATCAGTTATCAAATCGATAATTAATATTTATAAATCTGTTGAATCTATCAAATGTATTCAAAAGTACTGTAAATTGTGTTTGTATTGACTTTTTATTTCCTTTTACTTATCATAGTTAAAATTTTTCTAAAATTGGAGTATAATTTATAATATTTGTTTAATATGTTTATTACAAAAAACTCGATGACAACTTGATTGACAAATATGTATTATATCCTCCTATGCTTGAATTCCTGTGAATGGAAATATATTTTTAATTTGTTTATTTAAAATAATATGTAAATTAGTAATTTTATAATTAAATTTAATTACAATTTATTTGTAGACCAAATCTTTGGACAAAAGTGAAGTAAATGTGGAAACTGCGGTCAAATTTGGTTGGATTCAAGGAGTTCTTGTATTATCAGTTCATGCTTTTTCACAATTAAATTGTTTTTTAAATAATCTACTCAATATTAACTAGGTCCGATGTCTGCTCAATATATGGGGAGTTATGCTATTTATGCGGCTGTCTTGGGTGGCCGCCCAGGCAGGCATTGGTTTAGGAGCTATGGTTATCATATTGGCCACTGTTGTTACGACTATCACATCGATATCGATGTCCGCTATTTGTACGAATGGAGAGGTCAGAGGCGGTGGAACTTATTATATGATTAGTCGGTGTTTAGGTATTTATTGGCATTGAATTAATTTAATGATAAGAAAAGGTAGTAATGAATGGTATAAATAGGACCAGAGTTTGGCGGAGCAATTGGTGTGATCTTTGCATTAGCTAATGCAGTGGCCGTTGCCATGTATTCGGTGGGCTTTGCAGAGGCCTTAAGAGATTTGCTTCTGGTATTAGATATTTATATAAATTAATTATATATATATTTTTAACATTTGAAAATGTACCAGGATAATGGAATGTCTGTGATAAATGGAGGTCTAAATGATATCAGAATATTAAGTTCTTGCGCTGTCTTAGCAATGCTTGCAATCGCTTTAATCGGAACCGAATGGGAGACTAAGGTTTGTATATTGTATTCAAATTTTATATTAACGTTGAGTTATTCAATTATATTTGCAATTATATTAAATGCATTGATTTTAGGCTCAAATAGTTTTGCTGATAATTCTATTGACAGCAATGGCTGATTTCCTCATTGGATCAGTGATTCCTCCAAATAATGAAAAGAAGTCCAAGGGTTACATTGGTTGGTCCGGTAGGTCTATATGGCATACATTAATTGATGTGTTATATTGATGAATGAGCTGTTTTCAGGTGAGCTCTTAGTCGAGAACTTTATGCCCCGATTCGTCGGCGAATCCTTTTTCTCCGTGTTTTCGGTGTTCTTTCCGGCGGCCACTGGCATACTGGCCGGCGCTAACATATCCGGAGATCTTAAAGTATTTACTCATTTCATTATTTATTACTATAAACATGCCAATATACACCCACAAATTGTATATTGTACTATTCTTGCTATTACAATCAAATCATTAGTTATATCTGTATGAATTGAATGTAAAACAAACATTTGTCTGTTTATTCATAGGATCCGCAACAAAGTATTCCTCGGGGAACCCTTTTGGCCATCTTTATAACGACAATCAGTTATCTGTTGTTTCTCTTCATATGCGGGGCCACTGTTCTCAGAGATGCCAATGGAATGGAGTCAATGGTCGCACAAAACCCCCACGATTTCGTGGAATTGATATCGAATTGCACTTTATATGGGAGCAGTGATTGCAAGTTTGGTTCAGCAAATAATTACCAAATAATAGAATTGGTTTCAGCGTTCGGTCCCCTCATATACGCGGGTATATTCGCCGCCACCCTATCCTCAGCTCTGGCCAGTCTAGTGAGCGCTCCTAAAGTATTTCAGGCTCTCTGTAAAGACAAACTGTTCCCATATATTGAATATTTTGGCAAAGGGTTTGGAAAGAACAATGAGCCGCGAAGGGGTTACATATTGACCTTCGCTATCGCCCTTTCCTGTTGTATTATTGGAGATCTCAATGCAATCGCACCCATTATTTCAAACTTTTTTTTGGCCGCTTATTGTCTGATAAACTTTTCCTGTTTTCACGCGTCATTTGCTAAGTCCCCGGGTTTTAGACCGGCCTTCAAATTCTACAATATGTGGCTCAGCCTTATCGGTGCTATTCTCTGCCTAATCGTTATGTTTATAACACATTGGTCCACAGCTTTGGGTACTTTTGTCATTATATTAGGCCTATATGTTTGGATTCTCTACAGAAAGCCAGGTATTTATGATTAGATTTAGTCATAAATTATATAATATATTATTGAAAATTGGTACAGATGTCAATTGGGGCTCATCCACTCAGGCACAGACCTATTTGAGAGCTTTGCATTCTGTGTATCGGCTCAATTTAGTGCCCGATCACGTCAAGAATTTCAGGTTTTTCACTTTAAGTCATAATTATTATCTACTTCTTAAACATAAGTTATCTGAATTAGACCTCAAATTTTGGTACTGACCGGAAATCCTATTTCTCGACCACCTCTCGTCGACTTTGCTAATTGTATTTCTAAAGGAATTGGACTTTTAGTGTTCGGACATGTGATCGATGTAATACAGAATTTGATGTTTCATTTAAGGGATTACAATAATCTTTTTATTTAAGGGCCCTATATCTCAAAGAGCTCGCAATTCTCTAATCCAAAAGTCCAACCAATGGCTTATAAATAGAAAAGTTAAGGGATTTTATAATCTATTGGAAGAAGAATCTCTGGCTAAAGGAGTGAAGTCAATGATTCATGTAATGATTTGATTAGCTTTCATGTTATAATGTAATCACAAACATAATGTATTTTAAATGTTATTAATAGTCGGTAGGAATGGGAAAATTGCGGCCAAATATTGTAATGATGGGAATGAAGACTGATTGGCAGAACTGTGACGAAGGGTTCTTAGATTACTTCGACACTATTCAGTGAGTTTTCATGAATCCATGCATTTGTAACGTTTGTAATTGAAATGTGTTTGTATCTACTCTTTTATAGTACTGTGTTTGACAGTCATTTAGCACTTGTTTTGATTCGTTTGCCAAATGGTTTGGATTACTCGGGTTTCGAGAAGATTCCAGAGATGTTAGAAAACACTGGCAATGGAATGGTGTCTTCGGCTCCCTATTTGAACGCCTCGTACATCGATGTAAGCATTGATGCGTCCAAAGAAGATATCACACAAAACGGAAATCATTTGTCAGTCTTGAATGTATCTCATCGTAAGTATGAAACATTATTTGCATAGAAATATTGAACACTATATTGAGTTTAAAATACGATAACAGGAGACAGCTTTAGCGACTCGACGCCATCGACAATCATTTGTCAGTCTTGAATGTATCTCATCGTAAGTATCAAACATTATTTGCATAGAAATATTGAACACTATATTGAGTTTAAAATACGATAACAGGAGACAGCTTTAGCGACTCGACGCCATCGACTCCCTGTTCACAACGACATGAGATTTCACAACAGCCTTACTCTGTGTCCAACAATCCTTCCGGAGTGAACGCTACGAAAGATATACCCAAAGATGTATTACTGGCTGTCAATCAGTTTCAAAACAAGCAGCAGAAAGGCTTTATCGACGTCTGGTGGCTGTACGACGACGGAGGACTCACTCTTCTGTTGCCCTATTTGTTGAGCACAAGAAAGCAGTGGAAAGGATGCAAACTAAGAGTCTTTACGTTAGCCAACAGGAAGGCTGAGTTGGACACAGAACAGAGGAATATGGCCACTCTTCTCAGCAAATTCAGAATCGATTACTCGGATGTGATCGTCATTTCCGATATCGTTAAACCCCCGCAAGAGTCCACTAAACAAGAGTTCAAAGAATTAATCTCCAAATGGAGAATAAAAGACAACGAAAGCAATAATTGTGAGACAATTACTAATGAAAATAATGATAAATTGGTTATAACTGAGTCTGAATTGGTTGCTCTCAGAGATAAAGTAAGATAAAGTCATTACTAACGGTAATTGATAGCAAAGAATTACAGTTTATTTGTGTCCAACAGAATAACCGTCATATGAGACTTCGGGAACTACTGAACCGCTATTCTAAAGAGTCTTCGCTTATTGTAATGTGAGTTCAATTCACATTTTTATGCTATTTCTGGCTATTAATGCAAACTTTTTTGCCAATATCTTTAGGACACTCCCGATGCCCAGGAAAGGCACCTGTTCTGCGCCTCTATATATGGCATGGCTTCAGATGTTAACACAAGATATGCCGCCATTTATATTCATAAGAGGCGATCAGACAAATGTTCTCACATTTTACTCTTAATTTATTTTTTAATCTGATTTTAATTTATTTTAGCCAATAATCTTACTCTGCATTTATATCATAAATGGTTTTTAGCAACAACTAAATTTTATAAATTGAATGCATTATTTTTGGCTCATTTTATATAACTTTTATAACTACTGTCTATCATATTGTGCACCAAATACTGTATAATTGATACTAACCATTGTGTAAGAAAATGTCCCAAAAAGCAATCATTTTGTGATTTGTGTGCAGCCAATAGACTGTCCATTTTTAGATGCAAATTATCCTAAATAATTGTAATGCAATTTTATAATAATATAAATAAATGATTTTAATTATTAAAAGTGCATTATTTTGATAGAAGTTAATGTAAAGTTATGGTTAGTATGAATTGGTTGATAGTCTCAAAATTGATACCGGTATTACTTTTGAATACTAACAGATTATTCTTACGGTAATATTTTTGAATTGCATACTAATAGCATAAGTATTGCATAATATACTATTATAGTAGCCAGTCAATAGATCTGACTCATTTTCTTAATGTTATGAACCATTAGACATTCATCAAAAATAGAAAGTGAGTATAATGTCGAAGTTCATTTTAACATGCCAATGAACTTGCACACTTGAGAGTTTATTTTAAGAATTTTTATAGGTATTGACAATAATTGAAAAATTATTTATAGTTATTGGATGAATTGAACGAAATATTAGGTACTTTCAAAAAGTTTTGAGATTCAATTTGAACATTAAAAATACAATTTACTCAGAATTTTGAGACAAAAAAAATATCGAAATATTTTTTAACGCCAACTATGGTTTTTGCTATTATGTATTCACCCGAACAGACAATTCTTTTAGGGCACCTGTAGATCGGCACAGGCAGCTTATCTGTACAGCAAAAACTACACGAACATAATAATTATGCATTCAATTTGATTTCCAAGACTTATTCATATTGAATGATCAGAATATTCTGCACATAATTCAGTGTATGTTATGTGTATACCTGTGAACACCTCTACCGAATGATAACTTTTTGTATTTTTGAAAAGTTTTGACAAATAGTGACAAAAATGGCGTTCATTTGCGTGTAATTTGAAGTGAATATTGCATTCAATTAGTGATCAGTTTTGATGGACTCGTGAGTGAAATGCAGACATAAGTGAGACAATCGTCGAAATGTTTAGATTTGGTTCGCGGAAAGACGTGAACTGCGAGTTCAAGTGTGGGATCAGACTCCTGGACGACAATGAAGTGCTGCAGACAGAGTTCAAGGTATGTCTCGTCCATAGGACTCATTAGTGGATCCAGTGATGGACTGATGCATGAATGGTGTGTTTGTCTCATAGCGTGAACATAAGGGACAGTTTCTCCTCGACTTTGTCTTCAAAAGTCTTAATCTCATCGAAAGAGAAATTTGTGTGCAGCCAATAGACTGTCCATTTTTAGATGCAAATTATCCTAAATAATTGTAATGCAATTTTATAATAATATAAATAAATGATTTTAATTATTAAAAGTGCATTATTTTGATAGAAGTTATGTGTAAAGTTATGGTTAATATGAATTGGTTGATAGTCTGAAAATTGATATTACTTTTGAATACTAACAGATTATTCTTAATATTTTTCAATTGCATACTAATAGCATAAGTATTGCATAATATACTAGTAATCAGTGAATAGATTTGACTCATTTACTTAATGTTATGAACCATTAAAACATAGAAATTATTGATTAAAAATAGAAAGTGAGTATAATGTCGAAGTTCATTTAAACATGCCAATGAACTTGCACACTCTCAAGTTTATTTTAAGAATTTTTATAGGTATTCACAATAATTGAAAAATGATTTATAGTTACTGAATGAATTGAACGAAATATTAGGTACTTTCAAAAAGTTTTGAGATTCAATTTGAATATTAAAAATACAATTTACTCTGAATTTTGAGACAAAAAAACAATATCGAAATATTTTTTTAACGCCAACTATGGGTTTTGCTATTATGTATTCACCCGAACAGACAATTCTTTTAGGGCACCTGTAGATCGGCACAGGCAGCTTATCTGTACAGCAAAACTACACGAACATAATTGCATTCAATTTGATTGACAAGACTTATTCATATTGAATGATCAGAATATTCTGCACATAATTCAGTGTATGATATGTGTATACCTGTCAACACCTCTACCGAATGATAACTTTTTGTATTTTTGAAAAGTTTTCACAAATAGTGACAAAAATGGCGTTCATTTGCGTGTAATTTGAAGTGAATATTGCATTGAATTAGTGATCAGTTTTGATGGACTCGTGAGTGAAATGCAGACATAAGTGAGACAATCGTCGAAATGTTTAGATTTGGTTCGCGGAAAGACGTGAACTGCGAGTTCAAGTGTGGGATCAGACTCTTGGACGACAATGAAGTGCTGCAGACAGAGTTCAAGGTATGTCTCGTTCATAGGACTCATTAGTGGATCCAGTGATGGACTGATGCATGAATGGTGTGTTTGTCTCATAGCGTGAACATAAGGGACAGTTTCTCCTCGACTTTGTCTTCAAAAGTCTTAATCTCATCGAAAGAGACTATTTTGGGCTCAGATTTGTCGACCAAAACAAACAACGGGTAAGTGATTGATGGCTCAGACAGTAGTGGCCGGACATGGCTTAAGACAATTGGTTGTGTCGTTGCAGAACTGGTTGGATCCGACGAGATCTGTCGTAAAGCAAGTGAAAGGTATGTCTCAATCGGTGGTCAATGCGAGGCAAATGTGATGACAGTTGTTGTGTTGATGTCTTCAGGACTGAATCCAATCGTGTTGTGCTTTCGCGTGAAGTTCTATGCGGCCGACCCTTCGCTCCTCAAGGAGGAGATCACCAGATATTTCCTTTACCTTCAGCTCAGACGAGATCTACTCCACGGAAGACTGTATTGCATGCCATCGGACGCAACCATTCTTATGGCACTTGTTATCCAATGTATGACACAAGACATTAACCATTGGTTATCGAGTTTGACATGTATTGCAATGACTGGTATTGTCTGTGATTTATAGCAGAATTAGGTGATTATGACGCCGAAGAACACGTCGGGAACTATGTCTCAGAATTCAAGCTTTTGTTGAATCAGAGCTCGAAGATAGAGACACAGGTTATGGATATCCATAAGAATGAACTCAGAGGTCAAACGCCCGCAGAGGCAGAGCTGAACTTTCTGAAGAAGGCCTCACATCTGGAGACATACGGAATAGATCCGCATCCCGTCAAAGATCATAAGGGGAATCAACTCTACTTAGGGGTCAATCACTCAGGAATTCTAGCCTTTCAGGGAAGCCGTAAAACACATCACTTTAAGTGGTATTTAAATATTTGATACAAAGTATGAATACACTAAACGAGCCTTTGATTGATTGGTTTGTGTCAGGAGTGAACTCCAGAAGATTACATATGAGAGCCGTATGTTTATCGCCCACTGTCTCATCAATGATGTAATGCCTGTCCTCTAATCAATTGCATTACCCATACATTAAACTCCGTTTACAATAATTGTGTAGAAAAAGCATTTGATTGGATTCAAGTGTCCGAACATCTCTTCGTGTCACTACCTCTGGAGATGTGCTGTCGAACAAAGATATTTCTTTACAATGAACTCTTCGCGTGACATACCATTCGTTACGACAGGCGGAGGAATATTCTCGAGAAGTTGTAAATTGCGGTACAGGTATGTGTGTTGTCTTGTGTCCATCTCCTGTCACTGCTTTGCTTCCGAATGTCTCAACTGTTTTGTGAATAAATGTCTGAATATATGATCGCAAATAAGTTTAAGTTTTCATTCCATAGCAAAAACTATACGATATCTCGGAATAAATGGTATCTTCTTTACTAAGTCTTTGCTTTTGTCTTCTTTCCAAACATTCATTTCAAATGATTTGTAATTTTATTGTTTTGTATGATTTGTTGAAAATAGCGGCAGAACTGAGAGGGAGATCATAGAGGACATGAAAAGAGTGGACAGAGTGTCGACTAGTATTCATCGGAGCTATTCGATCACATCGGCGCCGCCATCCATGCGAACTCTCGGCCGCTCTAATACGGCTCCACTGCCCCATCACGAGTCACCCGAACGCTCCACTTATTATCACAGCAAAGGTTGCCATTAGTTGCAGTCATAGTGATTGACATGTGATTACAATCTCATTGTTTGATTGCTTTAGTGGTTCCATATCTTAATTATTCAACACTTTCTGAGCCGTGCGATGAACACAACCCACACGTTGAACACGACTCACACGAAGGACACGCCAACGCAAACGTGTCATTACCGCCATCTTTGGATCCATTCGACGAAGAAGATTGGGATTTGTCTATGACTTCAAGTTTGCCCACAGAATTCGATCTGAGGCCAGACCTAACGCCTACCGGTGAAGAGTGTCAGACGCTATCATTCGAGACCCCAGAGGTCCGTTCGTCGCCCTCTCATATGGCCTCCAATGGCACCGATTCTGATGAGCCGTACGAACAAAACAGTGATATTTTAGACAAAAAGATGACTTCTTCTCAAAGTAAAAGCTCTGGAATCAGTTGCAGAGCTCTTCCCCGCAAACCGCTGACCAAACTCTACGCTATTGTCCGCACGTCTATCTTAAGCTCATTACTAGTTATGTTGTTCTTCTCGTGCCTTCTCGTACTGATCATTGAATCCGATTCCGATCTCTTCTCCCATTTGCGAAAACTGCCGGAACTCGTAGTCTTAAGACGTGATTATTACGAACCACTCAAAGACATTGTCTGGCAATCGATCGGCAAATAAGTGAAACGAAACTCCTTTCTCACCAAAAACTTCCACTTTTTT